ATGAAGTAGAGTGTTACATACTCGTGATTTTATCAACGAGTATGGGGCAGAACCAAAGATCAACCAATATAGGATGAGTATGTATGCAACGGAAGTCTGATAAACGGACTGACTCACATAGACTGACTCGCACAGATATCACTCCACACACATACAATCGTGAGATGGTGGGGTCTGAGCCATACATGGAAGATGCTCAGGCCCCGTACACACATAGGCAGATGAAGGTGGGAGGAGAGACGAAGAGGTGGGGGAGGTAGACAGCACCGAAGGTCACCGAGATAGAATCCGATAGGTCACCGATATGTAGTCTAAAATGTCATCAAACAAGATCAAAATGTTGAGGACAATAAGTCACCAATGTCGGAGATACAGAGTCCTAATGTAAACGGTGTCCGAACTGTGATGCTGCCGAGTATCAACCCCAACAATCTCCAAGTCTTGAATCCGGTAAGTACCACAGCCTCTTACCACCGAAGTCCAACACTGATCGTTGTCCAACTAATATGAAGTCTCCAATATGAAGAAGAAGAAAAAGAAGTCTGAAGAAGAAGAAGAAGTATGAAGAAGAAGAAGAAGAAGTCTGAAGAAGAAGAAGAAGAAGAAGAAGAAGAAGAAGAAGAAGAAGAAGAAGAAGAAGAAGAAGAAGAGAGTCGAGGAGGAGAGAGAGAGAGAGGGGACTGGCGACGGGAGGGAGGAGAGAACCCCCGATTCCCGATACCTCAGGCGGCTGTGGCCGCCGATCTGCTCAGTCGCCGCTGCTGCTGCTCCGCTCGCTGCCGCTGCTGCGATACCGCTGCCGCCGCTGCTCCTCGTGCTCCTGCGCTAAGAATAGCGCTAGCGCTCTGGCGCTATACCATAACGCACCGCTAGAGTGTCGGTGGTTCGATGCCTCGAAGTGAGGCCGGACCGATCTTTAGTACCGGTGGGGCAGAGGCCGTCGTCAATGCTGCGAGGCCTGGCCGTGCCCTGAACCATCGAGATTGACGGTTCAGCCCCAACCGGCGAGCAGCAGCCTTAAGAGCGCCGCCAGGCCCAAACGGTAATGTAGTTTGGGCCTCCCCGTCGGGTCTGGTCCAAGTCATGGCCTTTCGGCCTGATAATCCCCCAAGGTCGGGCTTTTAGGCCCTAATGTGTCCCTCTAGCCCTAAGTCGAGTCCGGTAGGACCCGTGTTACATCGAAGATGTAACACACTCCCCCTCTTAAAAGACCGAGCTACGTGCGAGGGCGGAGTTGTCTGTCCGATACCGGGATGGGTCGGGTGGGACGAGCTGCTTCCTTGGCAAGGCGTCGCTTCTCATAGTCGGTGAAGATGAGGGGTGCAGAAGTCTGCAAGTCTGCACTAGAGATCCACCGAGTGTCGTCAGGCACACATTGCTTGAATGTGACTTTGAACTGCATTGGCTTGTTGCCATACTTGCGGTGCGTGATGACTCGGTCGACTTCCTGATGTCCGTCCATAGAAGGCGGATCCTGTGATCGACGGYCGGGAAACTYGTCGGCGGAAGGTGGCGTGTAGATGGCCAGYTTYGAYGCGTGGAAGACCCGGTGCACTRGAAGGTGCGGGGGAATGTTGACCACAAAGGAAGGACCTGCGGGGTCGTCTCCAACGGCAGAAGTGACTTCCCATGGTCCGAACCATTTCGGAAGGAGTTTGCACGAAACGTCCTGCTCAAGCGCAAATTCCTCGGAGAGGACCCAAACAAGGTCTCCCTCGCGGAAAGGACATGGGAGTCGACATCGGTTAGCCTACTGCTGCATGCGGATCTGAGCCTTTTGCATATTTGCGCGGGTTTTGATCAGCAAGTCCCGGTACTTCGGAACGGAAGTGGGAGAGCAAGGGACGTCTATGTCGGCGGCCTGTGGCAGAAGGAGATCAGCAAAGCTCCGTGCTTTCTCTCCACCATGATGTAGCTCGACTGAATGGTGTGACGCAGATCGCCGGATGCACCGAAGTGTTGTAGGGGAACTCAATGTTGGAAAGCCGGTCAACCCAATCTTTCTGGTCGGGATGGATGAGCGTACGCAATATCATCTGAGCGGTCTGGTGTGCTCGCTCCGTCTGGCCATCTGTCTGCGGGTGCCGAGCCGAGCTCGGCTTCATTGTCGTGCCGGACTCAGCCATAAAGGAAGTCCAAAAGACCGACATGAAGCGAGTATCTCGGTCGCTCACTATGTCTTCCGGAACACCTTGGTTGGTAATCCAACCGGTGTGCAAGAGTCGTGCGAGCTCAGGTGTTGCAGCATGATACTTGCAAGGAAGRAAGCGAGCATACTTGCTCAAACGGTCAACGGTCGTGAGGATACCGTCATGGCCGTGGCGATCGTGGGGGAACGGGCCTGTGACGTCCATAGCAATGGAGAGGCGCGGTGCCCGAGGAATCGGCAACGGTTTCAGTTCGCCGAAGGGGACTCGAGATCGACCCTTGTTACGGTGGCAAACTGCACATGACTCAATGTACCTCGTGACGTCATGAAGGACGTCGGGCCACTGAAAACGCTGGCGGAGGCGTGCTAATGTGCGGTTTACGCCAAGGTGTGTCGAAAGTCGTGCGCCATGGAATTCGCCGAGAAGACGAGTCCGTAAGATRCGATCTTGGGGCACAACTAACAAGTCCTTTCCTCTCGTGTGAAGGAGAAGGAACCCGTCGGAGATCCGATAATGGCTAGCCGGCGGGTGATATGATGAAAGCTCTGCGTAAAGTGTAGAGTAAGTCGGATCGGACTTGTAGCCTTTGACGAAATGCKGCTGCAGATCGTCATCGAGGTCGAATGCCGTGGTCAAAATGGCACAAAAATCGGGCCGTCGTGAGACTCGGAGGGCGTCCGCAGCTCGATTGGCGGGATCGGGAATGTGGCACGGGTCAAAGTCGAACTGGTCGATGTAATACATCCATCGACCGATCGTGCTAGTGACCGTATGCTGCGTTTTGTAAAAGGTCAACGGATTGTTGTCCGTATTCCATTTAAAACGCCGACGACCAAAAAGAAAGTGGCGCCACCGTTTGAGAACGGTGACGAATGCGAGTAACCCTTTCTTCCTAGCGTCGTCGAGAGTGTTGACGAGCGACACCTTTTGGGAGAAATACTTGACCGGATGCCAACCGTCCTCGTGACACTGTTCCAACACCGCACCAATACCGTATCCCGAAGCGTTCGTAGTCACTTGGGTGGGAAGGGTGGGGTCGTATATACGGAGGGCAGGTGCGGCTTGCATCGCTGCCTTCAACGTAGTGAACGCGCCACGGGCTGCGTCGTCGAACTCGAAGGGCACCTTCGGGGACTGAAGTCTCGACAAAGGAGCGGCCACTTTCGAGTACGACTCTACGAATCGCTGATAATATTCAGCCAAACCCATGAAAGAGCGTACATCCGCCGTGCAACGGGGTTCCGGCTAATCCACGATGGCTTGGATCTTGTCCGCTAAGGGACAAATGCCTTTCGGCGTAACATAGTGGCCCAAATACTCGAGCTCCTGCTTGTCGAACTCGCACTTATTGCGGTTCGCTTTGTACTTGGCCAGTCGCAAACGATCCAAAACAGCGCGAAGGTGTATGATGTGCTCGTCCAACGTCCTACTATAGACCAAGACCGCGTCTTGAACGCGGTCTTGTACCGATCTTGAGGCTGGATTTCAATCTGGTGGTAACCCGACTTCAAGTCCAACTTCGAGAAGTACGTCGCGCCGCCTAACCGCTCAAGGAGATCATCAATCCGAGGGAGAAGCCGACGTTCTTTACGGTTTGTGTGTTAAGTTTGTGATAATCGATGCATAACCGTAGATCTTTGTTCTTCTTCCGGACGAAGAGAACAGGGGCACGGTATGGCGAGCAACTAGGGCGAATCCAGCCCTTGTCGAGAAGGTCATCAAGTTGTGCGCGAAGCACCTCGAGTTCCTCTTTGCTCATGCGGTAGATACATCCACGCGGAGGGACGGCGCCAGCCTCGAGAGTGATCCTGTGACGTATGGGCCGATCCGGAACCGTTCCGGTGGGAGCCTGAAAGACGTCTCTATACTCGTCCAAGAGGTGAGAAATGCGTGGGTCCGGCGATGACGCGGCTGGTCCGTCCGACGAGGGTAGAGCATGCAAGAATACAAGGCGCATCTCCTCGACGTCATTCCGAGCTATGGCGTCGCGAATTCTCGCAACGGAAACCACGTGACAAGCAATCGAAGTGTGTGGGGTCGCGACCGTACATGGGACTAACACTCCGTTCCGATCACGGATGTGAACGGTTCGGTCATGAAAGTGCACCGGATGATCGGCCCTAGGCAACCAAGACATGCCTAGAATCATGTCGAACTTGGTGTCGAGGATGTCAAAAGACACCGGCTCGCACGCAAGTGGCCCAAAGTATACCGGAACGCTGTCAACGCATCGGTCAATTGACTTTTGCGTGCGGCCGTCCGTGAGTGTAGCTTGCGTGTTCCATCGAACGCCCGGGCCAAGACCTGCGCGGGCCATAAAGGCTTGGCTCATAAAGTTGCGAGACGCTCCGCAATCAATCAAGGCACTACAGATTGCCTTTCCGATTTGAATGCGGATACAGAGCAAAGGAGCGTCGGTTTCGGCGTACCTTTGGGTGGCGTACTCGGGGTCAATCTTCGCAAGATAGGAGGGGAGATCGACAACCGCTACCCCGTCGTCTGTCAACGGAGCTGGTACTGTATTGTGCAAATAGGAGCGAAGATTTGCCATCAAGGCATTGCAATGCGGCCTTGGCAAGGTTCCGGTCGAGGGTAGAGGCATCCAAGTGAAGTCTTCTCTCGTGAGCGGGTCAAGCTCCTCAAGTCTTGACCACGCCGTCGAGTTCTCGGAAATCAGTGGCGAACTGACCGCATCACTTGCCGACAATGTACAGGCTGCGCATACGCAATCTAAGTGCACGTGGCTCGGCTGGTCTAGTGGTGGTACCAGCTGGGCGACATAATCCTTGTACGTAGCACGAGAATCAGCGACTAACGCATGCTCCCCGGTAGTGACATCGATTGCTAGCAAGACAACCGCGTCTGGCGGAGTGAGGAGAGACGTCGCCCCTCTCCTTGCGTAACTCAGTTTCCCGAGTTAGCTGGACGAGGTACGCGTGCCTTGCCCTTTTCGGGGCATTGTGCGGTCAAGTGAGTGACTCCATTGCACCAAAGGCAATATCTGTACCGTTGACGAAGGTCATAGATTTCCTTGGTTATCTTGTATGTCGTCCATGGCTGCTGCCCAGTTCCCGTCGATGTCGTCTCTTGTGTCGCCTTGTTCTTTCGAACTCTCTTGGGACGCTTCGGCGGGAGCGCTGATACAATTCCTCCATCACTCGAGGATGCTGCTGCAGCGTGGAGATCGACTGTTTCTTCATAAATCACGACATTGTTATGTGTCAGTCGTTGATAGTCTGACCTAGCCACATAATGCGGCTGGGACTGCCATTCGTTTGCGACCTTGTCATCCATTTGGATGACCAAGTTCGCACAATCCAGGATGGCCTGGAATGAGGCGTAATCGTACTCGTTGCCGAGTGCGGTTCGCAGTCCTGCGCACGATCGCGAGAAGAACTCGGATCGTTGATTTGTAAAACTCAAATCGAAGCCTGGCGTGGTCACTATCTTTTGCCACTTGGTTGTCCAGTTTCGAGTTGGCATACTCCCTTGAGAGCAGGTGTACACCTCATTCATGGCCGCCTTCACGACGTTGCGGACCATGAACCGAGTGAACCATAGCTTCTCGAACTCTTTCCACGTGATGTGCGTGTGGAGTTCGGCGATGGTGCATTTCTTGGTAGCTGCCAGATGGTTCATCCATGCCTGCGCTCCTCCAATCAGTTGTAAGTAGAGCGCCTTCATCATGTCGTCAGCCGGGACAGTGCGGCATGATGCTTTCGTGAGGAAACTTTGCCACCATGTCAAGGCGTCCGTCTTGTTGTAGTCGTCGAACTTGCTGATGTCGAAGTGCGGCATCTTGTAATTCTTTGTAGCGGAGTCCGGTCTTGTCTGGAGCTTGGTGATGCTCGTCTTGATGGCGACCACCCTGCCGCTAATTGTGGCCGGACTAGTGAAATCACCTAGTTCGCCAATTATAGTGACGACGTGATCGATGCGCTCGTTGAGCTGTTTCGTCGTGTCTGTCGTGCAGCCTGCCGCTGCTGAGGTCTTAGCCTCAATGCTGTTGATGCGCGTGAGAGTGAAGTTCAACAGCTGTTGCTGCTGCTGTGTTCCTGCGGCACGGACGACATCGGTTAAAGCGGTCATGTCTTGCTGGTGCTTTTGTCGTTGTTGTCGTTCCGTGTGCAGGTGTGACGCACGTGTGGTGGCACGTGCGGAGATGGT